GGAATCTGAAGAAAACTGGAGCAGGATAAAAAGCCAGCAAGCTCGTGAAGTTTTCATGGGAAACTTAAAGTTAACAATACCTGAAGGTAAGTGACAACATGACTTTGTAACAAAAGATGTAAAAGTGGTTTTGGTGTTAAAAGAACAGAATGATAACACGATCCGAGTTGCTGAGAATCAGCAGGGAGATGACTAGTTCAGAGCGCTGTTCAGGGAGGACAGTTCTGATACTGACGTTGGGGAAAAGGTCATGAACTGGTGAGAAGGCAAACCAGGCTTGGAGGTGGAATGGGACGGCGCTGCATTCACAAAGTACCACTGAAGTCGCCTGCACCCCTTGCTCCCCAAGTCCAGCCCTCACCACCGGGGTGAATCAGGGTTACTATTAAGAATGATTTTACAGTGCTTTCCCCACAAAAGGGTCCCTGGTACAGAGATGAACAATGATCTCAAACCACTAAGAAAGGAGATTCCACTCACATCTGCCAAACACCCAGAGATCTAGTATGCAGAGCTAAAGACAAACCCAAAGGACAAAGGACAAGGTTTATTGTACCTGGAAGAAGTATTCAACAAATTTAACTAACAGAATTGATCTGAAAAAAAGGTAACAAAAGCATTCAAGGGATTTTCAGACATCATCCAAATAGCTTCCACATAAACTTTCTTAAAAGAAAGGGCGAATTTTTAAATAAAGGCTTTTTAGTGAATATTTGAGCAGATGGTGATTAATTCCTCCCCTCCAAGCAAGAAAAGCCTAACGTCTCTACTAATAGACTGACTTCCATTACCTCCCAGATAAGCAGTTTTTCTTTTTGTTTTTATTCCTTTTTAAAAAAATATGGAATGCTTCACGAATTTGCGTGTCCTCCTTGCACAGGGGCTGTGCTCATCTCTCTGTATCGTTCCAATCTTAGTACGTTCCAATCTTAGTGCGTGCGCTGCCGAAGCGAGCACCAGATAAGCAGTTTTTAGCATCGTTTATTTAAACGGTTCAGGAGCACTAAAAATTGTCAGGCACAGTGTCAGGCACTGGGGGCACAGAAATAGGACGAGGACTCTGACCTTGAGCTGTTAAATGGGTAGAGAAATATTGTCGACAGGGGCAAGTGCTAAAGAGATTAGTACGGAGAGGCAAAATAAGCTAGGAGAAGCGAATCCAGATTTGAGAGGTGGTTCCAATCAGCCTGAAGTATGTGCAGCCCCCAGTATTAGCATATTCGAAGTATAAGAGCTTGAGGACACAATAACAAACTGCCCAGTATCTGTGAGATACAGAACATCATTAATCCCTACCATTACAAATTAAATAACTGTGTTATCCAGTCACCCAGACAAATAATAGGTTAACTAGAAATAAGGTTACAGACCACATGATGAAACAGTTTTAAAAGGTCAATATATTCTTCTTTCTAAACTCTCAAATTTGCACCTGAAATCCAGAAGCCCAATTCATATCAACAAAACTGACAAAAATATCACATTAAAGCAAAGTGGAAAGCTACACATGGAAAAAATTTGCCTGTGGATCTCTGCTTCAGTGGGCACTTAGCACCACTTGACATGTTCCAGAGAATGGGAGGGGCGGCAAGCTGTATCTTTTTGAGTCTTGTTTAAAAAAGTATTCTACCCTATTCGGCAAATCTACAAACATCTCAGGCACTGGCATAATCAATGTGGCTTTCAAATTAACTGTATGACATATATACAGATGAGCTAAGTGTGTTAACTAGTTACTTGACTAACATCTCTTAAAACAGCTACATATGGTTTTGTAAGGAATGATATGCTAAATGCACTTTTAAACCTCAGCTGGACTGTGCCCTTGCATACACTGAGGTTCTTAGGTATCATATCTTAAACCCAAAGTTTTTTCAATCAGAATGCACTTCTTAAACAGAATATTCAACATTTGTTTAAATGTTTTTTCAGGAACACATCTATTTGCAAATGAAATAAAAATATAGACCACAGTGTCATGTGCTCTAATTCTAAAAATCCTTCAAGGCAGGAGATATGTACATTATGCAAGTGCTCAAATACTAGCACAAGTGCATGTTTATACATTCTGCAATATCCGAACATCTAAGTTCTCAGAGCCCAGTGACTAACGTCTTGAAACAGAGGCTGACAAATTACAGCCTTCGACCCCAGGCTGTTCTTGTAAATAAAGTTTTATTGGAATATAGCCCCAAATACATGGTCTATGGCTGTTTTCATGCTACAGTATGCAGAGTTGAATCGTTGTGACAGAAACTATATGGCATACAATGATCCCTTTATTAGAATCATCAAAATAGATGATCTGACAAATGTATGCCTCGCCTAAAAGTTTATCTGCCCTGGAACGCGAACTACTCAATACAGTGAAAGAGAAATCTCCCCCAACGCATCCAAGTAGAAACCCACATGAAACAACTTCTGCTGACTCATTCAAAGTCACACAATTGTCAATCTTAATTAAAAACTAAACTTTAAAAGCAAATGGTGAATTTAGTTCTCTTAATCTTTTAAACACTGTGCCGTGTTAAAGTCAACATACAAGTTCAATGTATTTTTATTGTCACTTGTACTTAGTTAAGCACCACCAGGAGCCACACTAGTTATTCCTACACACCCTTACAACCACATCCAAGAACCCACACACCATGAACTAGGTAAACTAAGTAGGGCATAGTCTTCGTAAAAGTTTGTTTCACCTGCCATGACAGATAGAGACGGGGATGGCAAGTGAAGCATCCAAAATCTTTTCTGGATGTATCTAGTCTCTTCTATGCTTACTAGCCTAAAAAAATCCCGAAGTTGCTGTATGAGTTGTATAAAAAAATGATATCCAACTTAGTCCCGTTGGATATACTTGCCATTCTTACAATAAGAGAAAAAACAAGCTAATATTTTCATTTGCTGTTAGTTATACTTAACAACTGAAGTCTATCAAATGAGCGGATTATATTTTTACATATCATTCCTAACAGAACTGAGTCAAATTAATACAGAATCGATAAATCATTTATTTACCAATTACTATTTTTCTCCAGTCAACAAAATAGGAAATAATGCAAATCCCTAAATGCAGTCAACTCTTGAATAGCCCCTGCATGATGTAGCTAAGGCGTGTTACTACCACCCCTCAGTGCTTAACCAAAGATGCATCCACAACCTGGTACCCTTGACAATACCACTGTAGCCACAGGTTGTAAGTTTATGTTAACATAAAGCTAAATTAAGCATTTCGTAAGGCCAGCATGATGTCAATATAATCATGAAGCAAGTACAATTAGTGATTTTGTAATTTTGCACAGCATTTCCCCCTTCACCTCTGGTGTTTCTCCTGGCTATTCTGGATTAAAAGACAATGGGGGAAAATATTTAAAAGTACAATCAAGTGACAACCAGGTTACCACAGATGACAAGGTTTACACAGAAGTCTTAATTTCTGCTGTTTTAAAAGAATTAAGTCAGATCTTGATCCTATTTCTCACCTGAAGGGTATTCGCAAGACAAAATCCTAAAGAACCTTCAACTCTAAAGACTTTTCTCAAGGCTCAGTTTTCTCATGAAGTTCATTTACGGAAGCTACCAGTGTGGGAAGGAGTAAGCACGAGAGGGCCTGATCTTGAGCGGGTAGCCTGATGAAAACATGGAAACCCCGCGGAGCCCTTAACTTTCTTTGCTTTTCTAGTCCTCGTCTTCTCTGTGAAAAACCCAGAAAAGCAGAACTTCCTTCGCCCTGCCTGCCTCTACCCGAGGCCTGGTGCAGAAATTCAGACCGCTAGTTTACCCAAGTACCTTCTTAAGGTAGTCTTAAGGCTCAAGCCCGCTCAGAAACAGCGAAAGGTTTGCTTTCTTGGGTTCAAGAGGGACAATTACAGGGTTTGGCGGCCGGGTTTGCCAGGAAGCCTAGGGCCGAGAAAGAGGGAGAATCCAGAGACTGAGCTCCTTCTAGTCCCAGGAACCACCCCCAGGGCCGGCTGGACTACCCTCGGTACTTCCCTGCCTCCTCTGCTCGGGTGGGGAGAGCGGCGGGTCGGGGTCAGACTCCCCTGAGCTACTTCCTGGTCCGATCCGACTCCCCTTCGGACACCCGAAACGCCCCCAGCCCGACTCCCTCGCCCTTTGCCCTGTCTCCTCCCCTCTCAGTGACCCACCACCACCGGTCCCCTCCCATCCAACATGGCCGCAGCCCCCGTCCCACCCCAGACACAACCTAACAAATTGGGAAACCCATACACCGCCTCCCCCACGCCCATTGGCTGCGCTGCCCCCGCCCGCCTTCTCCATTGGGCTGCACGGCCTGCCACTCCACGCCGAGGGCTCCGCCCCCGGTCCTCTTCAAGCTGCTTTGAGAAAACATATAAACAAATCCCCGGAGGGAGGCCCCTCTTGCCTGTCGCTGGGGCGGGGACGGAAAGGGGGAGCGGCTACCCCCGAGGCACCCCTGCCTGTACCCCCCCAGCCCCAGCCAGCGCCTCCTCGACTCCTGCCAGCCCAGTTACAACCTCCTTGGCCCCGGCCCTTCCTCACACGCCCCTCTCTCTCTCTCCTCCTCCTCCCCCGCCGGCCTTGCCTCCCCTCCCTTCCCCGGCCCCTCCCACCCGCTCGCTTCTCTGACAGGCCGGTTGCCGGCAGCCACGGCCCCAGGCTCCGAGGCAGCGGCGAAGGGCCGGGCGGCCCGGCAGGGCAGACGCCCGGCACTGCCCACCCCTGACCTAGCCTGCTTCCCGCCCGTGGGCCCCTTCTACCGCCGCCCCGCGCTTTTACATAACCGTCCGGGGCCAGGGGTGGGGGAGGGGAGGCCGGAGCCCCCGTGACCGGCAGGCGGCAGCCCGCGGCCCGCGTGCCCCCAGACTCTGCCCTGGTCCCGGCCCCGGCCCGCGCCCGCCCGGCCCAGAGCTCCGGCGCTGCCGCCTCCTAGGCCAGCGGCCCTCCTCCGCCCCCCAGCCGGCTTGTCCTCCAGCCCAGGCCCCTGCGGGCTCCGGGCAGCAGGCAGCGGCGCTCACCTGTGCTTGTGGGGCGGCTCAGGGACTGGGTCCGGTTCTGCTGCAGGGGCCGCGGCCCCTCTCCATGCTGCCTCGGGTTTGTTTTGTTTATGTCCTTTCTGACGGGTTCCCGGAAATCGCGTGACTCGCCCCCCTCACGTGGGCCGCGGCGAGGAGGTGGAGGGAGGCGGGGGCCCGCCGGCTTCGGGCCAATCACAAGGCGTTCTGCAGCCCCGCCAATCAGGAGCTTGTCCTGGCAGGGCACCCCTGTCACGTGATGCCGGAGGGGCGGGTTGCCGGGAAAAACCCGGAAGAGGGGGCGGACCGGGGGCTCAGCGCTTGCCAAGGCAGCGTGGGCGAGGGTCATCTAAGATATCCAGCCACACTCACGTTGTGGAGCGTGTTCGTTTACAAAGGCTTTACCGTCCCCCAACGTTGTTTCTGACCTCACAACTTCGCGGTAGGGCCTGAAGTGTCGGCATGCCCGTTTTCAGTTTAAGTTCACTGAAACTTGAAGGGGTCTGCGGGAACAGAGGGCATTTTAATTTGAGAGCTTGTATCGACTTTGTATTTATGAATGGCCTATCCGTCTGAATGAACGTCTTAATTCACAGAGACTGACCTTGCCTTCAGTCATTCTTTCGTTCATTCATTCAATTGGTATTCATTGCGCACGGATGCCCCGGGCAGAGGGATCAGATTGTGTGCGCTTTTAAGAGGGAAGACCTGTACACAACTTTAAACCCTCGTAACTCATGGACTTGAGGTTTTCTTGTGCTCGCTAATCCTATCAATAATAATAGCAATGCTTTATTATTGAACGAGTACTCTGGGATGGGCTTATCGCCTCATTTAGTTATCCTTACAAGCACATGCAATGGTAATAGACCGATTTTCACAGGGGGGAATTAAAGCTCAGAAGGGTCAAGTTACTTGGTTAAGGTCAGGGAGCTAGTAAATGACCCAGCTATCATAGCCTGTGCTTCCAGAGTGCTCTTTATACTTCTTAAAGTCTCAGAATTTATCTTTTGAGCACAGAACAGAAATCTCATTTTAGTAACCACAGGGAATTGATCATTAGGGAGCAGAAATGCCTGGCCAGATTCCATCCGGATGCCAGTTTTCTCTTCGGAGTAATTGCCTTTGAAAATGTGGCTCGTCTTTGCACAGATCTAGGGAAGTAGTATAATGTCAATGTCAAAAGTATGGACTTTGGAATCAGAAAGACTTCTATAGATCACAGGCTTCCAGAGAGCGGGGACTAGCTGTGCTGTTTACTCTACATTTCATGCCTGGCAGGTAGGCAGTCCTTAAACACTGTTTGAATAACAACCTGGATTTGAATCCTTGCTCTACTACCCATGACCCAACACAAATTATTCGAGCTCTGTGAGGCTCCTATGTAAGTGTCTGATAGATGTGAGAACTGAGTGAAAAATTCATATAAAGCACTTAGCATAGTGCTTAGCAAATAGTGAACTATTGATGAATGGTATTATTAGATTTTTTCCAAGGACATCATTTAGAAGACCTACCATGGATTAAATAGCAATAAGGATAACTCCAGACTTTAGCAGTTTAACAGCTACTAAAATAATACTTTTTGTACCCAATATTAATAGGAAGGTATATGTAGAAACCGAAGAGGAAGGTCTGTCTCACCTCTGTGTCCTTCAAAATGCCAAAGGGTCTCAAAACCCAATGAAGGCATGAGGGTTTTCCCTACTGCACAGAAAGTAGCATTGTATTATGTCTCGAATATACATTCTAATTTTCCATACCAACTCGAGTTTCCGTTGAAACCCCAACTGAAAAACTAGCTTGGGAAGTTGGAACCATATCCTCTCATTCATTCAATGAGATTCACGCATTAAATCTCCTTGGAACACATCACACACTCTCCTCTCTTGTAATACTGTTTTTGGAAAAACTCCAGCAGATGGTTAGCTATTCCATTTTTACACAGCCCTCCGGACACAGGCAGTTTCACCGCCTCTACCGGGCAGCAGTCCCTTGGGGTCAAGGGGCAGCTCGATTCTTCTAGCACATTCTTGAGGGCGCTTACTAGTGAATTACATTGGATTCCCGCCTTTGCATCTTCCGTTGTCTTGGAAAGGGCAAGAGTTTTGGCTAACACAGACCTTTCCATCAAGGTTTGTTAATGGCTATATCCTGCTCTGAACTGAATGAAATCACTGACAGCTCATTGATTTGTGTTTCTCTGGGGCTTATTCTGCCAGATTGTGTCACAGTCAAAGTTGGCAGGAAGTGGAGCCTCTGGAAGAGCATTGGCTTGAGGTTCAGGAGGCTCTTGTTTTAGCCACAAAGTAGTAACCGAGCGCCATCGCCGCTTCCGAGGTGCTGCTTAACCTTGCTCCTACAGAACCATTTACATACTGGGCGGACTCTCTGAGGCAGGAAAATGTTTTACGCAAACATGAGACTATGGGGGAAATAAAGCAATACCTAGGACTCCAATGAATTCTTCAAAATAATTTCCTTTTTGATTTGGTAACACACACATACCACAAAATGCAAAAGGTTTGAAAAGATATTCAGTGACTATTAAATTTCCCTCCCACCCATGTGCCCCTTCCCAGAAGCAACCACAGTTACCCACACTCTGTGTACCCTTCCAGAGATATTCTTTGTACACGCAGACATTTCTCCCACTTTAAACCTTGATGTATTTGGAACATTGTTCTTGGACCCAAGACCCCAGTCTGAGGGCGTCCAGCTGTGAGATCCGGGGTGGGGGCTGGCCCTCTCTGTGGCCCGCTTTCTTCACCAGCAGGAATCTGGACCGGAACGGGCTGTTCTCTACAACCCTTCTAACCTGAACATTGAGCTCCTGAAAATAATTAAAGCAGTTGCCACAGGTCCTAACTTTTTCAATGTCCTAAAGTTCGTGCTTTATGGGTGGCCTTCTTCATCACAGCACCAACTGAGCCCTGTCTGCTATTCACGTACGCGCCTTCTAAATGAGCATCATCTTTTTACATCTAAGTGATTTCTTTCCGGACCCTGCTGGACCTGTTCAGATTTCACAGCTTCAGAACTGAGAGTAATCCACTCAAAGCTGGAAGATCTCCAGGAAAAGCTGTGTCCTTCTGATACTTGTAAAAACTGAGTTGTGTTTTTTTTTTTTTTTTTCCGGACCAGACTGGAGCTTTGCTGAGAGTGAATCTAAGACATACGGACAGATGCTGGGCAGTTGGCACCGATCCCTCATTCATCTCTTCTAGAAGATGTTTGAGGAGGGGAATTGCAGGAAAAAGAAAGATCTCTTCTTCCCATTGCCTTAACATCTCGAGGATAAGTGTTCTTTATGAGATGGTTATGAGCTTTGGTTTCCTCCTTCTCTCAGAAAGTACCAAGTTCGGTCCCAAATGCCCTTCCCTAGCCTACCGCTTACTTATTAACCTGATTCCTCAGTCTCCATACCCAGAACCAGGCCTGCTATGAGACGAGAGCTTAGTAACTGCTTGTGGTCTGAACGTACAGATTAACATCCAAATCCTATTCCTCCTCTTTGACTCGAGATCCCGAATCCCTTGTGAGATGAATCTACTGCTACCACGTCTATTTCTGCTCTTGTTAATCGTCCCCTTTCCTCTGCCATACAACCGAGCCCTTAATGCACGCATTGCTTCGTGTTCTTCATGTCGTGTGGCGATATTGTTTCCTCAATTAAATCGAGTAGCCTGAACACAAATAAATCCGTGAATTATGGAGGATGCGGGGCACATCATCAGACAGCACGCTCAAGCCCGTGTTCAGTGATGACTAGGGGGAGGGGAGAGAGAGGTATAAAAACACCGACATTTCTTGAGTGTCTAATGGGTACTCGAAGACGCAGTCCTTGCCCCGGGGGAACTCAGCCTGGTGAAGCAGACTGCTGTGGAAAGCCCACAATACAACGAGAGTCTCTAAAGGGTGGCCCTGGCGGTCATCAAGAACGCGATACAGGTATTTCAGGGCCCTTTTCTTCCCAACTTTTTGTGGGTAAGTTACTAACTGGCTTTTCCTTGGTCTCTGTCCTGACCTGCCGCCCGGGTGGATTTTGAGGATCTGTGCAGGGGCTGATGCGGCGTCGGTGCCTGCTCCCCTCCGCCTCCCCTCCGCCTCCCGGGGCGGGGCTGTCTGAGAAGAGAAGCAGCGGAAAAGGGAAACCGGCCTTGGCTGGCGAAGGCAGCGAACCACTCAGACTGCTTTGTGATCCCGTTCCTGTCCAAGTTGTTTTGTCCACCTCACTAAGACTGAACACTTCTAGGACAACTAATGGTTCCTGTGGGTTCTTGTTGTTTGATTTGGTTTGTTTTTTTGTCAGCGCGGAGCTGAAAGTACACTGTTAGTATCAGCAGCTCTGACTGATAGCAAACCAGGAAGCCAAGGGAGAACAATCTAGCATTTGTTGTAGGACAGACTCCCGGAGGGCAGGTACCATAAGACATTCTTGTTGGTTTGGCCAGAAGGAGAAGATAAAAACAGAAAGTGGAGAAACAGACTGATAAGAAGCAGGAACCAAGACGTGCAGCCATGATAACAGTTTGCTGAAGTACAAATAAATGGACACACACTCCAAAGGGCCCGATCCCGGGTAGAACTGTGAAGCTGGGTTTCCATGCAAGGAAGGCAACAGTTTAGAGAGAATACTAAAGTAAAGAATTAAAAAAAAAAACACTCAGAAAATTGTAGTTGGAGGGCCCTTTGTATCCAAGGTTTTTTTCACCCCAGAAATTCGCAAGGTCATCAATTTCCCTCCTGCTACAGCAAAACCAGGGAGGGGCCCCCCAGCTGTGAGGTGTCTTGTTTTCACAAGGCCCAGCCCAAGAGTGCGATACGCTGCACCTGCGTTCCTCGGCCAGTCCCAGTGCCACATAAAGCACAGGGACAAACCCGAGTGCCGCCTGTGGATCCTCTCCCGTTAGAGGGGCAGTAGCAGGGGGAAGCCCTGTTTGTCTCTGAGCCCCTGTAACTCCGCACCCACCTGGGCTCCTGCAAGGCTGCCTGCCTTTCCACACACACCTGAGGGCATCTGTTCCCTGCCATCCTGGGCGGTGCCACTGAGGCTCAAGCCCGGCGGATGCTGGCTGCAGGAGTCCTGGCGAGCTGGCTGCAGCTCCTGCCTGCCGCCCTTAC